AATCCCTCTACCTATCGCCATCGCCGTTTTCCCTCGTTTAAAATATGCTTATAAGTCCTGCAGATTCAACATAATGACGAAAGTGATTGCTTAAAATATGTCAGACATTGATGGCTCTTTGGTTTATAGAACCTAACAACAATTATATTTTGATTAATAAGGCTTATTTTCAATGCAAAACTTGTTTAAAATATGTTTATGAGAGGGAAATTTGACTTTATATATATGCCCCCATGATGGTGGAAATTAGTGAAATATGCAAATTGTTTGTTTTCTTGAGGAAGTATGCTTTGAAGATTCCTTAGGAAACAATGCAAAAACAACCTCGCTTTTTATATAATTGCATATGATGGAACTATTAACTGAATAGTTCTTGTTATGCTAAACCATATAGAAATCATACGACTATGATTTTGGGTCATAAGCTTTATAATTGCTATAAAATTGATGGTAATGTTTTTGAGATATACACGAACACATGCATGTTGCATGAGTGTACCTTTGGAATGGTTCATTAAGGTCACTCCATCTACCTTATTTCTTTAATCTTACAAATATGAGTTTTAGAGATTTATTTTTAAGGATTATAAATTTCATATTTTATTCTGATGTGGTTACACATAAAGTTATCAAAATTTCATATTGCGCATTAAAATATATTAACTTTATCACTACAGGAAACGTGTTGATTAGTGTCAGAATTTGTGCCAAATTATATTCTGTTGATTTTGGGTGTGTTTGAGGCAGCTTGTGTTTATCCAGATAAGTAGCTTATCCTGAAACGCAGCCCGTGGGGTTCAACCCGCAGCCTGCGTTTTCGAATAAGCTGACGAAACGTGTTTTCCAAATGATGAGGCGCCACCCGCACTTATGAGCTGCCCCAAATGTACCCTTTATCTCTTTTTTTTAATTTTGTCGACTATTTTGTAATCTTTATATAGTTTTGGTTTCTCTGTTTCTTGTTTGGGATTAGTTTGCTTCTTGTAATTCTTTTAATTGATATGGTTGAGATGGTCGGGGTTGGCAGTTTGTAGGATGATTTTCTTTTACCATTTGCTTTTCTTGTTTTGTTGTTACATTGTTGTTTTGGTTGGGTTTTCGGTTTGGATTAGGAATGCTTTGTGTGCTCTATCAATTGTCTGATCTTTGACTTGTTTTATTTTGTTTTGCTTTGATTGTTTTTTTCATTTTTTTGGTTTGGTACTTTTGATAATTTATCAAAAAATTCAGATACTTTATTTGATCTTTATCTTATTTGGCTTTGCTAGGTATTAGATATGTGTGGGATGCATGCAAATGCTCCTAAATGAAATATCATTTGTGAGGAAAAATCTTCTTTATTATATGATATTTTTTCTTCCACTAAGAAAATAAATCACAACTCAATAATTCTTAGATATTCATTTTATGTGTTGGAATACATGAGATAAGTGAAACATCCTTTTTTTTTTATCTTTTTTTTTTTTTTGCAGAAATAAATAAATAAATTTTGTTATTCAATGAGTATTTACATACATTACATAAATCTTATGTATTTACTTATCTAAGACTTAGCTAAACTTTCATGTTTAGGTGCATATCACTCAAATCTGTATTTTATTCCGATGTAGTTACACATAAAGTTATCAAAGTTTCATATTGCGCATTAAAATATATTAACTCTATCACTACAGGAAACGTGTTGATTAGTGTCAGAATTTGTTATTCTGTTGATTTTGGGTGTGTTTGAGGCAACTTCTGTTTAACCAGATAAGCAGCTTATCTTGAAACGCAGCCCGCGGGGTTCAACCCGAGGCCTGCGTTTTCGAATAAGCTGACGAAACGTGTTTTCCAAATGATGAGACGCAGCCCGCACTTATAAGCTGCCCCAAACGTACCCTTTATCTCATTTTTAATTTTGTGGACTATTTTGTAGTCTTTATATAGTTTTGGTTTCTTTGTTTCTGGTTTGGGATTAGTTTGCTTCTTGTAATTCTTTTACTTGATATGGTTGAGATGGTCGGGGTTGGCAGTTTGTAGGATGATTTTCTTTTACCATTTGCTTTTCTTGTTTTGTTGTTACATTGTTGTTTTGGTTGGGTTTTCGGTTTGGATTAGGACTGCTTTGTGTGCTCTATCAATTGTCTGATCTTTGACTTGTTTTATTTTGTTTTGCTTTGATTGTTTTTTTCATTTTTTTGGTTTGGTACTTTTGATAATTTATCAAAAAATTCAGATACTTTATTTGATCTTTACCTTATTTGGCTTTGCTATTAGGTCTATTAATATAAAAGATAAAATTCAGGTATTAGATATGTAAATACAAAGGAATTGGGTGGGATGCATGCAAATGCTTGCTCCTAAATAAAATATCATTTGTGAGGAAAAATCTTCTTTATTATATGATATTTTTTCTTCCACTAAGAAAATAAATCACAACTCAATAATTCTTAGATATTCATTTTATGTGTTGGAATACATGAGATAAGTGAAACATCCTTTTTTTTTTATCTTTTTTTTTTTTTTGCAGAAATAAATAAATAAATTTTGTTATTCAATGAGTATTTACATACATTACATAAATCTTATGTATTTACTTATCTAAGACCTAAACTTTCATGTTTAGGTGCATATCACTCAAATCTTTAATATAACTTAAGAAGCACTTTTACTTTCTAAAAATGAAATACAAATTTTCATGCAAAAGTTTATAATGTCAAAGTATTGTAAATCTAAATATAAAAAGTTTAAGTGCTAGATGTGTAAATATATAATTGTTGTATGATATGTATGCAAATTTCCCTAATTATTAATGATTATACTTATGACTAAGGGTCTGTTTCGGGAGCTACAGCTTATTAAAAAGCGGTTGTGAAGCTGTTGAATAATAATTTGATGTTTAAAGAGCTGCGGTGGCTATTACTAATTAAAAAAAAAAAAAAAGTTAAAATGCAGCTAGTAAGTTATCACCGTGGTGAAAAAATGCAGATTTCAGCGGCGGTTTTTTAGGAAAGCTGCCAAAACGTAGCTATGAGATAAGTGAAACATTTTTTTTTTTTTTTTTTTTGCAGAAATAAATAAATAAATTGTAGGAAGTATATTCTTCAAGTTCTTTGCAGGTGTGATGCCTACTTTTAGGGGAAAATCCACTAGCATGGGAGTCAGACTTGGTTCTTTCTTCTCTTTAATATAACTTAAGAAGCACTTTTACTTTCTAAAAATGAAATACAAATTTTCATGCAAAAGTTTATAATACCAAAGTATTGTAAATCTAAATATAAAAAGTTTAGGAGCTAGATGTGTAAATATATAAGAGTTGTATGATATGTATGCAAATTTCCCTAATTATTAATGATTATACTTATAACTAAGGGTCTGTTTCGGGAGCTACAGCTTATTAAAAAGCGGTTGTGAAGCTGTTGAATAATAATTTGATGTTTAAAGAGCTGCGGTGACTATTACTAATTTTTTTAAAAAAAAAAAAAAGTTAAAACGCAGCTAGTAAGTTGTCACCGCACCTAGCCAAGAGTGATGGAAAAATGCAGATTTCAGCGGCGGTTTTTTGGGAAAGCTGCCAAAACGTAGCTCACCCAAATAGACAAAACTGTGGTGCGGTGCCGCACCGCCGCCCCAAAGGGACCCTAAATTACTATCAAATTAGTGTATTAAATAGAAATAGCAGCGCTAGCTAATGACTGTCATCAAAGAGATTAGAGTAAACTGATCTCCAGAAGATACATAATTACCGTGGAACTATTATGAACAGGACCTTAATGCAACATAATTTGCACAAAATTCCTCCTCAAAGCCTTCAATATCTTCACTCATAAGGAAATATATATACAAATCTATCAACCCCTACACCAGTTGGATTATCAGATAAACTATAGCTTCAGCAGCCCTTTTACTTGTTCATCAAAATACAACAACAACAACAAAGCCTTAATCCCACTACGTGGGGTCGGCTACATGAATCCTTTTTTCTCCATTGTGTCCTATTTAGTGTCATATTTTCATTTAGTTCTAGTAAATTAAGATCATTTTTTATACAATAAGCCCAAGTCTTCCTAGGTCTACCTCTGCCTTTCTTAACACAAGTCGAATCTAAAACATCTAGTCTCCTAATCGGATAGTCAACGACGACTTTCTCTAATTTTGTCCGTCAAAGGAGCTACACCAACCTTATCACGGATATATTCATTTCGCATTTTGTCTCTAAGTGTAAACCCACTCATCCACCTAATCATTCTCATCTCAGCAACACTTAACTTATTATTATGCTTCTCTTTTAAAGGCCAACATTCAGCGCCATAAAGCATTGCAGGTCTCACCGCCATCTTATAAAATTTTCCTTTCAGTCTAAGTGGTACTTTTCTATCACACAAAAAGCACGAAGCATTCCTCCACTTCAACCAACCAACTTGAATTCTAGTATTAACATCCTCATCTATATCACCATCACTTTGAACAACGAAACCAAGATATCTAAATCGTTCACACCTTTTAATAATTTGATCACCCAAAGTCACACTTATGTCACTAGAGCTACTACTACTAAAATTACATTCCATGTATTCAGTTTTAGTTCTACTTGTTTTGACTCCAATGTAAACCTCCATAGTTCAAGTTTTTCCTGGGCTTTTTCTCTCGTTTTATCCACGAGAAGGATATCATCAGCAAAAAGTATACACCAAGGTACATCCTCCTGTAGATGTCCAGTAAGACCATCCATAACTAAAGCAAAAAGATATGGGCTTAAAGCCGATCCCTAATGTAATCCAACAGAAATAGGAAAATATTTGGTCAATCCTCATTCAGTTTGAACATCAAAATATTAATGCATTATACATATTCACATAAATCAAGAAAGAAATATTAAAAAAATTAAGAAAAGATAAATTAAAATATTAAAAAAATCAGGAGACAAACAATTCCAATAACAAATAAAATCAAAATTTTCAAATCATGAAGCAGTTAAAAGAAACTAAAATGAAAACAGCATAAAAAACATCATAAATTTCATAGAACCAACCATTAAAAAAAAAATTAATAGTGAACAAGAAAAACACGAATATGAACAACTCGCGCAACATACAACGAAAAAATACAGATTGAAGGCGACAAAATTCAAAGAAATGAAAAATACCATAGCGACCGACCGAAACAAACAGCTCAATCAGCTTCAGTTGAAGTCCTTCAGCCTTTTCTTCAACATGTCCATGGACTTCTTCCTAGCATTCGGCTTAGTGTTTCTGCTTGACAAACTTCCGAAAATTCTATCAGGAGAATCCTTAAATTTATCACATATACTGGCCACCTTTTTATAGTCCAGAGAACCATAATTCTTCTGTCTTATTACAGGATTCATAAAGTTCTCAGCTTGATTACTTAAAAGAAGGTTAACCAGTTGTCTAGATTCCAACAAACAATCCTTTAAGCTCCGGTTTTGGTTCAAATCGCACAACCCCGTGCTCTCATATCTTTCTTCTGCAAACACTTCAAGTGCCTTCAAGTCATTATCGATCCCCATAACAGCACTAACTGTAAATCTCTTAACATTATCATTTAAAAAAGCTGCAACAATGGAGTCAGAGATATGTTCCAATGAAGAAATACCAAGTTTGTAAAGGGCTTCCAACGGTAAAATCTGCTGGGCTGTAGATATCAAGGTGTCAAGATAGATTATAATCTCATTCGTATAATCACTCACATTCTGCGGAGGATCATCAGCAATCCAGTCAAAATTATTCATGAGAAAATAGAATTCATCCAACTTCGAGTTCACCTCGTTCAGCAGCGCGTTATAAGCCGCGTTCTGTGAGGCCTTCAACACGGCCTTCGCAGCGAAACCAGCATGAGGCCGATCGAAAAGACGAACCGGCATGCCGCAGCGCTGTGCAACCTGCCGAAGGAAGAGATCACAAGCTCGCTCCAGAACAGAAATGTTAGCAGCAATTTGCATCGCCTGCGACGCGCCTAACGAGCCGCCATGAATAATGTTGAGGAGTGTTTCGTTGAGGACGTCGATCAGAAGCTTGTCCACATACTTTTTCACGACATCGTAGAAGTTCATATGGGCTCCGAACGATAAGTAACTCACTGAGTCGTTGATGAAGGAGCGAATTATACGGCAAACATCGGGAACGGAGGAGGAGAAGGAGGCCACATATGGAAAGGCAGGTGTTATATCTGAAGTTTGAAGATTGAATGCGGCAACATTCATTTTGTATTCGTATTCCTTCCGAATCACCATTTGTTCATAAGAGTCGTTAGCAAGGATGTTGGTAAGTTGTTTCCGGCATTCATCGAGGAGGAGTTCATGATACTTGTCTCTGGTGCTATTGAGAACCTCAAGCAATGGCGTCAAACGGTAACCATAATGCTTTAGGGTTGAACATAACAATGTAACGAAGTCCTTGATGAGAAGAAGATGGCTTGCAGTATCCATGCGGGCAAACTGGTACTCTAGAATTGATGTTATAGTTGCCAGAGCTGTGTCCCAAATAGTTTCCACCTGAGTATCAGACAGCAAATCTCCTGCGGTGCGAAGAACACGGTCCTCCACAATGAAAAAACCGGCAATCTGAGTGAAAAAAGGTTGGTGGGATTCGAGAAATGGCTGAGAAGTTGAGATCTCTAAGTCCAATTTGAGCTGCATTAATCTGTTCTTGTAATAGTATTCGTGGAACCTCTCCTCGATACCGAGACAAGTGTGTATATGGTGTGCGCGGTATACGGGAGTAAGATCAAACTCGAGAACTGAGTCTTCATCGAGCTGTTCAATGTCTAATGAGTACACACACTCCACAAGACCGGAACGGCTCTGCTCTTCAGCTTCCCGCTGTCGAGCACGCATTTCCTCATCTCTTTGGCGGGTAGAGGCAGCTTGCGCAATGGCTAATTGCCCAATATTCTTCGAAATGCTTCTTATTTGCACAAGCCACTCATTAAATTCACTGCAAACTTTCTTTTCAATTTGTGTTTTTATTGCTGGAATTTGCTTCTCAATCACCTTTCGAAGCGACTTTATGGGAACATTTGAGAGATAATCATTCTCAATCATGTCCAGAGTTTTTAAAGCTGGGACAAACTTGTTATCTGATATATGTTTATTGCACTTATGGCATAAATTTGAAATTTGAATGCAAATCTTCAGCTTTCTAAGGGCCTCGGTGACATTTTTTTTGATAGAGTAAAGTTCAAGGAGGTCCTCAAGCTTTAGAAGAAGAGAACTTGCAACGTCTTGAAGACTGAGGTTTTCATTTGCTAACATGCTTTTGAGCTCATCAGCATCCACCAACACACCACGAAGCTCGTCGACTGCGAGTATGAAGTCCTCATAGTGGAGTTTGCAAAGCTCTTCTATTTCGACTTCCTTCTTCTTAACGATGCTCCGAAGCTGGTGCAAGAGCGCCTCTGGTTTGCCAACTTCAAAGGCATGCCTAACAATTGGGCCTAAATCTTCTCCATTTCCAATCAAAGTTGAGAGGCCTGAGTCGATCCCCCCACTTACTTCCCCACTTTCTGCTGCTGCCCTCCTTTTGGGTTGGACACTCATTTCTGCCAATTAGTGGCACTTATTTTAGAAAGAAATCTAATAAAATCTATCAGAAGATTAAAAGTTTAACAATATTTGGATTTGGGAGAAAAGCATCAAAATAGTTCTCCTACTCTTTGCAAATGGGTAATTTTAATCCCAAAATCTATAAAAGTATCAATTTAGTCTCTAGACTATTTTATCATGGGAAATAGTCCCAATCTGATGACTAATTTGATATTCTTTATAAACTTTGTGACTAAAATGACTCAATGTAAACAGTCAGGGGATTATTTTGGCACCTTTTTCTATTTTAATCTCAGAGTCACCTATCAATCATAAATAACAAAGAATCATCATAAATGAGATTGTGATTAGATACCAATTTATTCATGAGTAGCATCAGAACTTTATTTGCGAGAACAGGTCAGGCTTAAATGAGAAAGAAGACGGATAAGCTCTAAGAATGTAGAGTAAATTGATGTTGAAATGCAAGTTGATGTAACCAAATTTAATCCCGGGCTAATCCACACTAAACCTGCATTTATAGGTATAGGTCAAGTGCAATGCTATAGGGATTATTATATTTGAATAATACAAATAAATTTATGTAGCAAAACTTAGCAATGCTTATTTTAAAATTCTTATTGAGTGCTAGTTGTTCAAATACTTGAGTGGCCCTTGAATGTCCAAAGTTGAGGGTCAGATCCTCAAGGAAGAACTCCCTTTGCCGAACTCTCTAGCAAGTTCCATGGCAAATTGGAGATTTTTCACTATCTTTTTATATCTTCTCATGCAATAGAGTAATGGAGAGAATTAAAAAATACATTGAGTTTAAATCTTCTTATGCATATTAATACTCGATAGATTTTAAATCTCTAAAGGTTATGGTACTCGCTCTTCAAGTCTGTGTTGAATCTAAAAATATAAAAATTGTAGAGCAAATTACTGAACTTCAATTTTTTAAAAACTGAGAAATTTATATATGTGGAAATTTTTGAAAATTTGCTAGTTGCCTTAGTACTCCATCAAATAAACCATCAGGAATGTTTGTTGAGAAGTAAATAATCTAAAGGATGAAGTTGCTTTATTAAGTTTGAGGCATCTCCTCCAATAAGCCAGTTCATTGAGGTGCCAAAGTGTAATTGTATTACTTAATTCACTGGGAACTATATCTCTCAAGTCAATCTTGATTTCAAAGTTCTATTATGAGAAGCTACATCTTCATTATGTTAAAATTTTTGGAGCATCCCAGCATCATCAAATGGTTCATCCTCCTGCAAGTTAGATGAGATTTTTTCCTTCAAAAAAAAATTTTTTTATGAGATATTTATCTTTCATTTTATGTATTTTCTTTTACATTCTACCGGAGGCTTTTTGGAATAATAAAAGGTCACTATGTTTGTAAAACATATGCAGCACTTAATTATTTTATGCCCATCTTTTTTGGTAAGTTGGCTTCTTTTTCAAAGTTGGCAATTAATTTTTAAATGAATCTTGTGATGTGAGTGATTTGACTGAGTTGACATGATATGCATCGCTCTAAGTTTTTAGAGTATTTTCCTGTCATTTCAAATCACACATAATCGATTATAAATATCTCTGAATTGATCTTCCGAGTTGATTTCTGTTCAACCTCCATTTTGATGTTAATTTGGCGTTTTGATTGAAGGGATTAAACTAATTTACTTGAAACTTCATATAGAAGTTCTTTTTGGTTAAATCTTTTTTTGTTTATAAAACAATGGTCATGGAATTTGATTTTATTTTCTCTAAATTATGCTCTAAATTATGATCAAGCACTACATAAACTATTAGGTATTAATTTTTTTTCTGGATCTTGAGATGTTAAATGATTAGAAGTGTTAAATGATTAAGACAATAAATAATGTCATTTAACGCTAACAGTGTGCTTATCAAAATTTCAAATGACTTTGATGAACAGCTTCCAAAAAATTTACTAAAACTACTCACTGAAGCATTGAATACATAAACCTGAGTGTCAGTTTAGTTGTTTTCATTATTATGACGATTTATCTTTCAATCCAATAATTTTTCATATTTAGTGATATTTTTAGCTAAAATTTTTTAATATTTTTTCATGTTTAAAATAATGTGCTACCTGATCGTGTGATTAAGTTCACTAAAGATCTAATGACAAGTATTTTTGAGTTCCAAGCATTTCACATGGCTAATATTAGCTCTAATAACTCGCGATTCAATTACAAGAATTATTAGACAAGGAATTGTCAAACCAAAAATTTCATCTTGGGTAACTGCTTGTGAAAAAAAAGGACGAAAGGATGAAATAACGCCTTAATTAATTAAATTTAAATAAGATGACCTTGAAGAATAAATATCCACTGATAAAGATGATTTGTTTGATAAGTTACATAGTTCATCCATGTATTTTAACATTAACATTTAGTTTGTGCACTGTCAGTTGAAGATCAAAAATGATGATGTGCCTGAGACAATTATTTAATTATGATATGACATTATGAGGTTTTGGTAATGTCATTTGGATTGATTAATGTTAATTTAGCTTTCATGGATATGATAAAAAGAGTCTTCAAACTTATTTAAAATATTTTGAAATTGTATTCATTGATGATATTTTAATCTAATAAAGAGTGAAGATAAATATGTTCAACATCTCAGAGAAACTTTGAAAATTTTTTAGGAGAATAAGCTTTATGTGAAATGCTCCACAGAGAAGTTTTGCATAATATCAATGAAACTAATATTTTAATAATGGGTAATAATAGATCAGTCGAAACCAAGCAGCACAAAGAACATTATTGTTTTTTTTTTAAATCTAGTTGTCTATTGATAGAGATTTGTTAAAGATTTTTCTAGTATTTATGTGTATTTTCCTAAACTAATTGAGAATTCCACCAAATTTAGGTCGTCTATTGCTTGTGAGCAAAGATACATGAAGTTCAACTTCATGAAAAATTTAACCTAAACAGCTTGGATGGTCATTTAAGAGCTACAAAGTATTCAATTGCATGAAATCTCAATCATTATTATTCCCAATGAAGATTAAAGGTTTACTTCTAAATTATGAAAGAAAGCACTAGAGGCTTCATATATAAGATAGAGTTAGAGCATTGCATTTCATTATCAGGCAAACTACCAATCAGGGCATACTATTCAGATAATGAAGATTTGATGAGAGCAAATATTCTTGATTTCAAATGTAATTGATAAAATTACATTTTGCTAGTGGAGCTTGCATATAATAATAATTTTCAAGCTACTATCGGCATGTCATCATACAAACTTTTATGAAAGAAATTGTAGGTCTCTTTTATATTTGTTTTAATTAGCAAGAAAAGACTCTTAATATCTCAATTAGTTGATCAAGCTACTAAGAAGATCCATTAGATTCGGTTATGATAACATTCAACTTAAGAGCATTAGAGAGATAGTTTAACCCTAAGCATAAAAAATAAAAAAAAAAATCAAATTTGAGGTTGTGGATCATGTCTTTTCAAGATTTCACCTAAGCATAGAGTTATATGATTTAGCAAAAGTGGAAAGCTTCGACCCTATTAAATTAGTACTTTAAGGTGTTCAAGAGAGTTGGCAGTGTTCTTTACCATCAAAACTTGGATGAGTGCACACTATTTTTCACGTATTTTTACCACAACGCTATATGCATGATGATTCTCAAAAGTTTTAATTTTAGTCTCTATTCAGTCAAAAAAATATCTGAACTATGATGTATCAAAGCATATTTTGAATTGTGAAGTTTGACAGATTTTTCGTTGTTCTATTCACTTAGAGTACTCCTGAAAATAATGTTGTGAGAAGCAACACAAAAAGCAAAAGAAGAGATGATTGGAAAATACCCCAACTATTCTAAAATTAAAATATAAATTTAAGGACCAAATTCTTTCGAGAGATAATATTTAATAGACCGAATCTGGTCTATCATCAACCCCTCATTTTACCCGATTTGTCTGAACCATAAATCAATAAACTCAAATGAAAATTTTGTGAGCACCGATCTATGCTCTATCATCTAACATTCGATAATGTGTCTGCCATCACTTTAACTACGGATTTAAAGAGAGCAAACTCTAATTCATCACACTCCTCACCCAGCCCTATCTTAACAGTCGTCAAGCCTCCTTTGACAGAGATATCCAAGTCGCAAGCCCTCACCACGATTTATTTTTCCCAAGTCGCAAGCCCTCACCACGATCTATGTTTTCCCAAGTCGCAAGCCCCCATCCTCCTCTCCACCCCAAGTCGCAAGCCCTCACCACGATCTATTTTCCCAAGTCGCAAGCCCCCATCCTCCTCTCCACAATCAACCAAACACTAACAGCAAGGAGGTCTCGCCATTGCCTTATTCTTTGATCAGAAGTCAGCACAATGTAAGTCGTTTTCTTGTCCTCCTTCTAATCCAATGTCCCTTCTCCTCCGACTCTAATTCTCATTTTCACTCTTCCTCCATATCGCCTCATCCCTCTTTGTTATATTTCAAATACACTATAGTTCCATCCCTCCCCATGATTTGATAAAGGCCGTTTAATTACTTAAATTTATAGTAGATTAACTGGAGTTATTATTTGTTGGTTACGTTAGATTAATTCTGTTTAAATTCTATTTAAATCACTTTAGAGAGATCATAGTTTGGATTATAAGATAGATTATATTTCTGTAATAACTAATTTGAGATCTAGGATCGCTAAATCCCATGAAATCGTGGAAACTCGCGATCCGGCACCTCGGTGTTGTGGAATCAGGGGAGTGCACGATCGTGGGAATGCATAACCGACTAATTTTGTGCCTTTATAAAATTCAGAGATATATTTCCATTTTATAGCTTATTTCCTATTTGTTTACTTCCAATTAGGGTTTCTTTCTAATAGGAGACTATTTATATGTTTGATCTTTTTGTTTTAAGGGTCCTAGATTTGTTTGCTTAGAGATTCTATCATTGATTTCTACCTTAATGCCTAGGAACATATCGTGGATCCTCTTCATCGCACATACTTCGTTGTTTCTCCATTTGACCATTCTGTTTAGCCCGGACAGCTACCGAACCAATCTAATTTGCTGCCCAATAGCAAATTTCACCCCCTATCATCTTCCAAATCTCATCGACCTTACAAATTCTCGTTCCCTTACTATTCCCCAATCACATCCTCACTAGATCTACTTCCTAAATAACTTCTGGGAGCCCCAAAATGGTATCATCTAGTATCAGAGCCCAATAAACCCAAAATATTTAGGGATTTATCATTCCTACACTACCAAAAAATCCATAACCTAAATCTTCAACCAATTTAAAGCCCTAACCATTCCTGTCATAATTTTTAGTCCTAATCCTAAACTTTAAAATCCAACCTTCCTATCTCCACTAAATATCTAACTCGATACGAACACCAAAATCCTAAAAACTACACCAATCTTTGACTCACAAAAAAAATTTCTTACATCACCCACCTAACCCTAACCTTAAACCTCATTTCCTTTTCCGTCAAAACTTTTATCGGAAGAATGAAACATCATGCTACCAAG